CACTGTGAGTTCCCCCAGGGGGGGGGGGGGTGACTGTGTCCTTTTTAAGGTCCCCATGTCCTTGGGTGTCCTCCGTAGGCCCTGCCTGCCCCCCCAGGTCCTTTCTGTCCCCTTTAGGTCCCTTGGGGGTGGGGGGAGTGGGAATCCCCTGTCCCCCACACCGCCCCCCCTGTGTCCCCTCTGGGGTCTGCCATAGTACCCATGTCACCTTTGGTGACACTCCCCCCACAAGTCTTCCACCTGGTGTTGCTCTGTCCCCATGTCCCCTCTGGGTCCCCCTACCATGAGCTCCCACCACTGTCCCTTTTGGGGACACCCATGTCCCTTCTGGGGGTCCCCACACCCACTGACCCCTGAGGGACCCAGGTCTGGCCAGTGCAGACGCAGCAGCTTTAATGATCTGGGGACATGGGGACATGTCCTCCACCCTGGGGACACACCAGCCCCTGAGGGGGTGAGTGGGGATGGCACTGGGGGTTGGTGGCACTTGGGGGACACATTAGCACTGCGGGGTGGTGGCATCTCGGGGGCACAGTGGGATCTCGGGGTGGTGGCACCATGGGAGGACACTAGTGCAGTGGAATGGTGGCACTTTGGGGATATGGTGGCACTGTGGGGTAGTGGCACTTTGGGGACACAGTATCGCTGGGAGCTGGTGGCACTTTGGCGAGGAGGTTCCAGGAGATGGTGACACCATGGGGACAGGGGCTCCAGGGGGTGGTGACACCTTGCAGGTAGGGTGGCATGATGGCACTTTGGGGACACAGTATCACTGGGAGGTGGTGGCACTTAGGCGAGATGGGGGTTCCAGGGAGTGGTGACACCATGCAGACGTGGGATCCTGGGGGTGGTGTCGCCTCACAGGCAGGGTGGCACCAGCATGTAGTGGCACTTTGGGGACGCGGTGGCACTGGATCAGGCCTGGCACTCGGACTTCTTCTGGGCGGCCTGTGGGGACAGACGGGAGACTGAGGAGCGGACCCAGATGTCGTGGTGTCCCCACACCCAGGGGACCCAGGTGTGACAGCCCCCCTCCCCCAAAGGACCCAGGCATCCTGGCGCACCTGGGTGACGCTGACGCCCGTGAGGGCCTCGACGGTGGCGGGCAGGCGGGTGACGACGTCCAGGATCTCCCCCGGTAACCGCGACACCCCGATGTCCCCGGAGCCACCGGCCACCAACGTCACACGCCGTGTCCCCAGCAGCGGCTGCGCTACCGCCTCTGCCACCTGCCCCCAAAACAGCGGCTTTCATCCCCAAAATACGCAGATCTCCCCCCAAAATCTGCCCATGGCACCCCAAAATTCCCCTCCCCATTGCTGCCTGTTCCAAAATTGCCATGTTTCACCCCAAAATTATTTCTCAGCACCCCCAGATCACACCCCAAAATCTGCCTGCAGCACCCCCAACTCCCCCTCCCCATTAGTGCCTGTTCCAAAATCACATTTCATCCCAAAATACTCTGTTGGCACCGCAAAATTCCCACATCTCACCCCAAAATCTGCCTGTGGCACCCCAAAATCCCCCTTTCCCGTCACTGCCTGCTCCAAAATGGCCACGTTTAACCCAAAAATCTGCCCATGGCACCCCCAAATCCCCAGATCTCACCCCAACATCTGCCTGTGGCACCCCAAAATCCCCCTCCCCATCGCCATCTGTTCCAAAATCACCATGTTTCACCCCAAAATACTCTGTTGGCACTCCAAAATCCCCAGATCTCACCCCAAAATATGCCCACAGCACCCCAAAATACCCTCTTCCATCACTGCCTGTTCCAAAATCTGCCCGTGGCACCCCAAAGTCCCAAGATCTTACCCCAAAATCTGCCTGTGGCACCCTGAAATCCCCCTCCCCATTGCTGCCTGTTCCAAAATTGCCATGTTTCACCCCAAAATTATTTCTCAGCACCCCCAGATCACACCCCAAAATCTGCTAATAGCACCCCAAAATCCCCAGATCTCACCCCAAAATCTGCCTGCAGCACCCCCAACTCCCCCTCCCCATCGGTGCCTGTTCCAAAATCACATTTCATCCCAAAATACTCTGTTGGCACCCCAAAATCCCCAGATCGCACCCCAAAATCTGGCTGCAGCACCCCCAAACCCTCCCATTCCGTTGCTACCTTATCCAAAATCACCATGTTTCACCCCAAAGTTTTCTGTCAGCACCCCCAAACCCCCAGATCTCACCCCAAAATCTGCCCATGGCACCCCAAAATCCCAAGATCTGACCCCAAAACCTGCCTCTGGCCCCCCCAAATCCTCTCCGTGCTCAGCTGTCCCAAAATGACTTTCACCCCAAACCCACCCCTTAACCCCCCCCAATTCCTCCCTCTGCCCCTCCTAGACTGCCCCCACCCCATAGGGGCACCCCGAAACACCTCCTGGGACCCCAAAATACCCCCGGGAACCCCCAGATCCCCCCTGACAACCCACAAACCACCCCAAATCCAATGGGGGGTACCCCAAATCTATGGGGGGCACCCCAAAATACCCCATGGGACCCCAAAATACCCCCTTGAGACCCCCTAGGGACCCCAAATCCCCCCAGGACACCCCCAAACCACCTCAAATCCATGGGGGGG